ATGCCCGCCATGCGTGAAGGTGTTGCCTGCTCTTGGGGTCATTCTTCTCCCCCCTATGTTTTTGCACTGCCGGGTGCGTGCGTTGCTCGGTGTGTGCTGACGCGTGACGGACGCTGCCACGATGGCCTCCTCCTGGTGGCGATGACAGTCGCTGTGCTCTCGGCACACATCCACACACTTCCTTGTCTCTCTCTGTAAGTGATTGCAGCAGGGCAGTGGTGCGAGCGTGATGGGGACCACGACGGCGTCACCCCTCGAGAAGGTCCCACGCACTGTCGGTTGTGGAGCGGCGAGCCGGTTTGCCTGCAGCTCTACTGACAGAACCGCACAGTTGTTTCAGTGCGGTCACTACGTCGGCATCACCCGCTGCGGTGGTGTCCGCAGGAGCCGCAGCCCCGATGAGGATGGCCTCGTAATTGTGTGGCAGCTCAGAACTTCAGGCCCTTCAGGATTGCCCTTTCTGTCCGACTGGCGCAGCAACAGCCCGGCATGGTTGTTCTGCTGGAGCGCAGGCAGCAGAGTGCCCCAGCGACGAGGCTCGTTGGCTGCGGTGACTTCCACCAGGCCTGCAGTGGGCCTGCCGGTGGCGTTGTCTTCTTGGTGCGCCCCACTTTGTCGTGCGAGCGCCTGTCGCTGCTGGCACAAACTGCGTGGAGACCACCGCCTTCCGCGTGTGCCCACCGCCCTGCCCCAGCATGTACATGGTGAACCTCTGCAACCTTACCACGGCAATGGCAATTGCTCACGCTGCTCACTTTGCGAGCACCATTCGCCTTGGTCCTGCAGCGGTTATTGCTATCTGAATTCACACCATGAGCTGCGTGACGGTTGCTCACGATAAACGACGGCAGGAGAGGACCTCGCCGCCACCCCAAGCGGCATGGAGTCTCGGCTGTCCTACGACCCGGCACAGGCAGCGCGGATTGGCGGCCGCAGCGTCTTTTTTTCCGACGTGACTGCGCAACGCGTACTGCGTGTCTCTCACTGGACGTCCACTTGTTTACATGGAGTCGGATCAACATCTGCCATCCCACACTGCGAGGACGGAGGACGGCATCCCGCGACAGGCAGGCCTTCCGCCACGACGGAAACATGCTGCCCTTGCGCTGCGTGCAGCTGACTGGAATGATTCCGCCACGGCGTGTGCAACGCCTCTGGCCACTGTGACCACATGGTTGGAGATGCACCGAGGCACCGTACGAGCGGCAGTCGTAACATTCCCACAGGAATCTGGATGGACGGAATGGAGCAGGCCGAGTGTGTTGCAGCGGCAGCCTGCCCCGAGCTGAAGTGCACCGCAAACGGGAGGACCGCAATCATGCCCTCCGCGGTGGCTTCTCCATGCTGCTGGAGGTCCGTGCAAAGCAGCTTGGTGCCCTCTCGAGCCCAGGCCTGTGATACCCCGAGGCATGGCGGCACCACGTTCCTGCTCTCTGGGATCGGCTGTGCTGCGGTGCTGTTGGGACCGCGTCTGTGCTCTGTCTCTGCAGCGGGCAACCCGCTCGTCCGCCACACTGTCCGAGTCTCACGTGCTGCGATCCCCACAGCTGCCTGCACAGTTTGTGCTTGCGTGCCTCCTGGTGACTGAAATATGAATTGGCCCTTCACGCCGTGTGCGCCTGACTCGGCCATCCGCGACTGTTTGCCTGGCATGGCCCCTGGCCCCGACGACACGTTGAATGAATTCCTGCACCGTCTCGGGCCCGTCGCGCATGGCACACTTAGAACGATGATCCACAACCCCTTCGCAAACGGCAGCCTGCCTGGCTCCTGGAAAATGGGAGACACTATTCCATTCCCCAAGCCCGGGAAGGATCCATGCCGCCCAGAGAGCTACAGACCCATCACGCTGCTCTCTGTTTTACTAAAGTTAACCGAAGGAATGACTCACCGCCGTCTGTCAGCGTTATTGCCGCACCACCCACGTCAATTTCGGATTTGCAACTCCGCGTTCTACGTCGGACGTGGTGGCACTTGTTGTCGACAAATTACTCGGGGACTGAATGAGTTTGGCATTGTGGAGCATGAGCGCCCTGGAGACGACGCCCCCACACGACGCCCTCGTCGCCATCGCTCGTAGTTTTGATTGATTTTCCGACTGCGTTCGACACCACTGACCATGGGAAGTTATTCTGCATGCTTGACAGACTTCCGTGCCTTGGCCTCGAACCAAACGCTGGCTGCACAACTACCTGCGGGGCCGCTATGTTGGGGTATGCACTCGTGAACAGCACTCCCGGAAACAACTCGCCTCAGCTGGAGCACCGCAAGGCGGCGTCCCGGGACCCCAACTCTTCCTCTTCTGTGTGGATGGTCTGCTGCGCCGCCTGGGCAGCATCTATTCTGCCTCCGCATTCATGTACGCTGACGAACACACGCTTGTTGCCTCATGTGCGGACATCCATGCCCGTGCTGCGGCAATGCGACCGCTCTTGTCTCTTGTGGCCACATGGGCTGCCGAGCACAGCCTAAAAATCAACGTCGCTAAGAGCGAAGCTGCTCTATTCTACATCTCTTCACACACACACGGTCTGACGAGGACATGGTCGATCTCCATCTTGTTAGCGGGACAATAAGCATTCAGTCACACTCAGTGCGCTTGCTGGGCACCACGTTCGATCAACTTCTTAATTCTGTCACGCACGCTTCCACCGGTTCAAAGAGGACCATGCCACGCCGCCATCAGCTGCGTCTGGTCGCAGAGGCGGACGCGTCCCATCACACCATGCGATCCTTTTTGATTGGATACGTTCATAGTGTGCTATTTCATAATGGCGAGGCAATTGTCCCGTGACTCGCCCCCACACACCTCCACAATATGGAAGTACGGTACCGCGACGGTAGCAAAACATTCTTGGCCTGAGCGCCTCTACGGAAGACACATCCGTCTATTTGGAGGCCAATATTCTTCCGCTCCGTAAGATATTTTGGCGTCGTGCATTCACACAATACGGACGCCATGTACGCCTCCATGATCACGAGGATTTGCGTTCCCTTATCTACTCGGAACCTATGCCGCCGTCCATGCATGGGAAAGCGGCGACATCAATCCCGCTTCCGAGAGATGCTGCTATTAATGGATTGCTACGCGTCTGTGACATTATTGGGACACCCCACAACCACAATCGTGCTCCTCTTGCCCAACATCGAATTTTTCCCCTGGGACACTGTGATCTGCAGCGGGGTGAGATTTTATCAGCCACTGTTTGCCGAAGACGCCTCTGACGATGTCGGGCGCACGGCTTTTTATTCTACTCACTCCTCTTTGGGGGATTGTGATTTTGAATTGTGGACGGACGGTCCTTCGTCTCTCGCTGCACTCGCGTCTGGATCCGCCGCGCTATTGTATGACTCCACCACGACAAGTGATATCCCCGTGGAGGTACATCGTGCAGCAACTGGCAGCCTCGCATGCTCATATAGGGCAGACTGCCTTGCGATCGAAAATGTTTTTAGACATCTCGTACCTCCTTGTCTGGGAACATCCCAATCGCCCACACGAATGCTGGAGGAAACGGACTCCCTCTCGGCAATGGAGGCACCCCGCCTTGGACCGCTGGCGCTGCACGACGACGTCACTGAGTAAATTTGGATTATGCTGCTTTCCTTGGTGAAGCGAGGTCACCCTGTGGATTTTATATTTTCCCATCACACTGCGGTATTCCACGCAGTGAGGCCGCTGACAAACAAGCCACGATTGCACGATTCCTCTCGCAGGACTGCGTCAATGCCTGGCACGTGGACTTCCTTACCGCCGTCAAGAGGTTATAATGGAAGGATGCCCAGGAGGAAAAGGAAGGCGCACACCGCGTGACAGGCGCCTGTCGGTGTGACGAGGACTCTGTTCCTGGTGTTGACCCGGACATCGTGCCCCGAGTGGCGGCACTGCGCACGGGCGCGATGCAACACATTCCCACTCTTCGACAGGCCTGCACGCGCCCTGCGGATCACAAGGAACCCTCTGTGTCGGTGGCGCCGTCCCTCCCTCACTGCGGTGACCGGCCCGCCTCTGCCTCCGCCGGAACCTCTTCCCGACGTGAGCACCGCAACTCCTTGCCGACCAGCGAGCGGCGGATTGACGTCCCCCTGCCCAACCTGCGGCAGAGTGCGCTTGTCCGTCCACAGTATGAGGGCACATGCCGGACGTGCTCAGCCTGGCGTTATAATAGTTTGCGAGGGCCTCCCATGCGGATGCCACAATGGCGCCGCCGTCTTCTTAACAGGTGCCTCGCGCGCAGGTCGCCACCGAAGTTGCCAAGCATGCCAGCAGGCAAGACACGCAGGAAGGACAAACGCGGGTACTCGAGATGGACCAGGCGCTTCCGCCACCGCCTCATCACAGACGCCACGGGCTGCTGATCCCACGACGGACCACGGGAGACTCCGCCTCATCCACTGCGGGAATGCCCTCGTCGTTGGGAATCTGGGACTGCGACTGTTTGTGACTGCCCCAGCCCGCACGACGGAATACTTGCCACTTTTGTACGGACGGCCCTTGCGCTACTCACTCGTTATTGTAGCAGCATACAACCAAAACAGGATAACAAGCTGCTTGTGATGAATATTGGCTGCACTTCCCGTGGACCAACAATTCGCGTGGTGTGCGGGGATCTTCTTTTTTATTGTTACTATGCTTTTGTGTTGCTGTGTGCGCTGCACCTTCTTGTGTGTGTGCGCACCCTCCGTGAGGGGTGCCGACACGACGGACCGCTCTCGCCGCATGCGCATGCGGTAGAGCCTTGTGTGCCGCTCCTGTTTGCTTCTCCCTCCTCCATCTGTGTGTGTTGGTGTTGCGGCAGGGCTGTGTGTGTGTGCCTGCTGCCATGGATTGGAGTGTGTGTCGTGCGTGGTGTGCGGCGCACGGTGCATGCCTGGCTGCTGCCCTCTCCTCGTGTGGTGTGCCCTCTGTGTGTGTCTGCCGCACCTCTCGTCTCCCCTGTTGCTCTCCATGTCCCTCACTGTGCAGATCAGCTCCACACCACTGAACAACCACACTCACGATGATGACGTGCCGTCTGCTGTGCGCCCTGTTGGTGCTCGCCCTGTGCTGCTGCCCGTCCGTGTGTGTGAGAGCGACTGGTGGACTGAATAAAAATACGGATTTGTCGTCCCCTCAGTCACATGTGCAAGATCGGTCTGACGAGGAACAGGATTCAGAGACGGAGATCGTTGCGAAGCCGGAAGGTGAAACAAGCGTTGACGAAGGATCAGGAAGTGAGGACCCTACCCTGCGAAAGACACAAGGGAGCTCTGTTGAGGTAAAGAAACCAGATACGACGACGACTACCACAAAGGCACCAACCACGACAACAACGACCACTACAACACAGGCACCAACTATGACCACCACTGCGCCAGTGGCACCAAGTACTACGACCACAGAGGCGCCAACTACGACGACCACCCTCGCACCGTCACTTCTTCGCGAAATCGACGGCAGCCTCAGCAGCTCTGTGTGGGTGTGTGCCCCGCTGCTGCTCGCCGTATCCGCGCTGGCGTACACCACTGTGGGCTGAAGAGGTGTGTGTGGGCTGTGCGTGCCAGCACTCAGCCGCGGGGATTTGTGCGTGTGTGTTGTGGTTCACTGTATAAAATAAGATGAAATAATGATCTTGTTTTGCTTCACTTGCTTCCGCTGCCCTGCTGTGTGCTCCGCGTTGTGGCTCCCTGTATCCGCAACTTTGAACGCATCGCGGACACACTCGTATGCATGCGCACTGGAGCCCTGGTTGGTTTTTTTTCTTTTTTTGAATTCTTGTTTCATATTGCTTTTTAAACTTCTGGTTTGCAGAGCAGTGTGCGAGTTCTGCAATCGTACTGATTCCATCTGTCTCGTGGTGTGTGCACTGCAGCTTCCAATTGTTACTGTGCGGTGGCTGTGCGTGGTGTGGCGGCTGCGTCTATCTTTTTGCTCTCCTCTCTGTTGACGGGGAGTTAGTTTGTGCTGAAGGCTACACGCAAGTGACAGGAGTGATGGCGATGATGTTGACTGGCCGTGTGCTGCTGGTGTGTGCCCTCAGCGTGCTGTGGTGCATTGCCGGCGGTAGATGTGATGAAGAGGAGGAGGCACCTCTTGTCGGTCCACCTCTTAATTCTACAAGTGTTGGAGTTTCCGAAAATGCCACCGGCCACACGGCGCCTAGTGATGCAGGAGTCCTTTCTGCGGAGCAAAAACAACTGAACCCTTTGGGGGCTCTGCCATTGCAAGCTGCTTTACAGCCTGAATCACCAAAAGAGCAGACACACTCCAGCCCCGAACATAAGGATCCACTGCCACCTTCAACACAATTGCAAGAAGAGCGGCAAGGTGGACCAGACGAAGGTATACTAAAGGAACCGGGGGCTTCACTCAGTCAAGAGGACAAGAAGCATACATCAATTGGAGATCAACAGCGTAATGATCCGCCACCTGCTTCAAGTAACAAAGATGTCGTCAGCAACAATAGTGAGGAGAGCACAGAAGATACTTCGAGGAGTGCTGAAATTATTGGTGGCGCACCGTTTGAAGAGGTGCAAGAACGTGAAAATGTCACTCTTTCCTTGGAACAACCTCGGGAAACTTCCACGGCCGCACCGGCCATTACCAATCAAACAAGTTCCACGACACCGCCCGACCAAAGTGAGAGCAACACCGTCAAAATGAGTGATGCAACACCACAATCAATAGGGACCGCCAACACGAATGATTCGACGACAAAGATTGACAGCAGTGACAGCAGCACCGCGGTCTCCCACACCACCTCCCCTCTTTTGCTTCTTCTTCTTCCTGTTGTTGCGTGTGCTGCTGCGGCTGCGGTGGTGGCCGCGTGAGAGTGAGTGTGAGAGAGCCATGCACCGCCCGCACACACACTCGTCCTTCTCTCTCTGTGTGTGTGTCCCCTTGCATGGACTCTCGCCCTCACCTCACCCCACGAGGCACACACATAATGTGCCCATTGTATATATGCATGCACACCCATGCAGGCCCGTTGGTGCTCTCTTTTGCACGACACGCACCGCTGCCGTCCTGCCTGGCTGCGTGGGCGGAGCACCGTAACTGTTTCTGTTTTGTTTTTATTGCATTGAGTGGGCGACCTCTCTCTCTCTCCCTCTGTGTGTGTGTTTTGTTTTACGGGAGTAATGAGAGTGTGTGTGCGCTGGTCGTCCCACGCTTCGGCTTCTTGTTTTGTTTTTTTGTTTTACTTGTGTTGTGGTTGAGTGCACCCATTCCGCGGCTGCGTGTGTGTGTAGTGATATGAGTAATTCGCGTGTGTGCTATCTGCCTCTCTCTGCCGTTGCTTTCTTCGGACTCTCTTGTGGCGCACAGCTGCTCCGCAAGTATAGGCGCTGACAAGCACTCAGATACACACAGACAAGCCATGTTGGTCACTCTGTGGAGAGGCGTGAAAGCTGAGAACGCACGCATGCGCACGATCTTGGCTGCGGCGGTCCTTGCGAGAAGGACAAGGGTTCGTAATTTGTCTCCTTGACGTGCTGCGATGTGATGTTGGCGGCGTGCAGTCGGCGCATGCTGTGGCGTTTTGGGTGCCTGGGACATGTGCGGATGGATTATTCCACCCAGCTGCTCCACGTGCGGATGTGTCTTTGCTTCCGTGAATACGTTGACGGTTGTTCCCCGGCTGTGTGCGGTGACGCGCGGGTGCGAAGGAGACAGCAGAAAAAGGATTGCTGCAGCGCATTGGTGCTGCGAAGGACGGTTGTGCCGCTTTGCATCCCGCTAGTTGATTTGTGTGTGGGCGTTGCTTGATTTGTGAGCTGACGCGTGACGAATAACGACACAACCGCCGTGACTCCTGCCAGTTGTGATGGTCACAGTCGCTGTGTGTTCCTGGTGCGCTGTTCTCCCTCTTGTTCCGTGTGTCTGTGTGTGTGAGTTGTTGTTGGGAGTGAGTGCGGCGGGGATGATGGTGCCAGTTACTGTGGATGGGTGGCGCTTCTCACTGTTTCGTTCCTTTTCTATTCATGTTTTCTCTCTGTTTCTGTCTCTCAATAACAAATGAAGGAAAACAATCGCTAATCGCCACTGTGATATTCGAAGGCACTGAAAGGACCAACAGCACACACACCGCCCACACACACATATTTATATGCTCTCACGTGTTGCTGCAGTGAAGGCACCCTGCACGCACAACCGTCGCCGCGTGACCGGATCCAGCGGAAGGAGGAGGGAAGGAAGAGAGAGTGAGCCGCAGAGGCCCAACATGTCCCGGCGTGTGTTTACTTCCGCGGTGCTGCTCCTCCTCGTCGTGATGTGCTGTGGCACTGCAGCCGTTAACGCGGAGGAGTTATCCGAACCAAATTTTGAATGGAAAGGCATCACTGATGGTGTGACTGTGGAATCGTTGGGCGTTCCCGGCCTTCTAAAAGTGGGGAATGACGTATTTACCGTTGCCGGGGCGCAGTGCAAGAATGGTGAGGGTGAAGACAACACCTTTACCGGCATTGCATCCCAAATTATCACGAAAGAAGCTGCTAAAAAGCTGGAGGAAGTTCTGAAGGAAACCAAAGATAAGACACAATTTCTGGAGGAAGTCGCTTCCTCAAGCAGTAGGAAGAAAGTGGATGTGAGCCGACCAACAGCAGTTGTGAAGGAACGTGAGATTTACATGCTTGTTGGGAAGTACAGCTGGAATGCTGCCGCTGTTGGTCAGGATGGTGGTGCAGATGGCTGGGGCCTTTTGCTGGTGAAAGGGGAAGTCAGTGATGCTGGGGAAAGCAAAAAGATTGACTGGAAAGATACTAAACGTCTCCAGTGGAAACCTTTAGGTGGAACTAACGACTCCTTGACAGAGCTGATTGGCGGCGGTGGTTCAGGTGTTAAGTTAACTGACGAAACGCTTTTGTTCCCAGTGGAAGCTACGAAGAATGACAAAAAAACAAAAATCTTTCTGCTGGTCATAGACCCGAGGGACATTCCGAATTGGACGCTGTCTGAGATGTCCGCTGATGACTGCAGTGATCCCTCCGTCGTGGAGTGGAAGGACAAACTCATCATGATGACTGCGTGTGATGATGGCCGCCGCAGGGTGTACGAGTCCGGTGACAAGGTGGAGTGGACGGAGGCACTCGGGACACTCTCGCGTGTGTGGGGCAACAAACACGATGAAAACGTGAAGCTCGTTAGAGGCGGGTTCATCACAGCGAAGATTGAGGACAGGGACGTGATACTCGTCACTACGCCGGTTTATTCTAATGAAAAAGGCAACAGAAAGGGCGTACTCCATCTTTGGCTGACGGACAATACGCACATTGTTGATATTGGGCCGGTATCCGGTGATGATGAGGACGCTGCCGCCAGCTCCCTGTTGTACAAAAGTGCTGAAGGTGAAGATAGGAAGGAGGAGTTGATTGCACTGTACGAGAAGAAGAAGGATGGGGACGAAGCATCACTCGGTATGGTGTCTGTGCTCCTGACTGCGCAGCTGCAGCGTGTGAAGGATGTGCTGACGACGTGGAAGAAAGTGGACGACCTTGTCTCCAAGCTGTGCCCTTCAAAAAGTGATGTGGAGAGTATCTTACCTGAAAATGCCTGCAGGACTGCCATGCCGGCGGATGGGCTGGTTGGTTTTTTATCCGCCAACTTCTCTGATAAGACATGGAGGGACGAGTACCTCGGCGTGAACGCCACAGTAAAGGGGAATGATGGTGGGGCGGAGATGACGGATAACGGTGTGAAGTTCCGGGGAGCGTGGGCGGAGTGGCCCGTTGGCGCGCAGGGGGAGAATCAGATGTACCACTTTGCGAACTACAACTTCACTCTTGTGGCGACGGTGTCCGTCGAAAAGGTGCCGGAGGGTGATAACACTATTCCTTTGATGGGTGTGAAGATGAAGGGTGAACAAGGGAAATTTTTTGGGTTGTCGTACGAGAAAGAAAAGAAGTGGATATTAAAGTGCGGTGACGGAACGAACGAGGAGCTCAAAAGCACATCGGAGACAGAGAGAACTCGACACGTGGTAGTTTTGTTGAAGAGCGGCGGTCAGGGCTCCGCGTACGTCGATGGTCAGCGTGTGGGTGGGAATGAAGAATGTGCATTGGGAGAAGCAGCATCGAAAGGGATCTCCCACTTCTACATTGGAGGGGATGGAAACAGTGCGGGCGGCGTCTCAGGGATCCAAGACGTGTCTGTGACTGTGACGAACGTCCTGCTGTACAACAGCCCGTTGAGTACTGCGGAGATTGGCGCCCTAAACCCGAATAAAGCTTCTAGTCCACCTGTGGTGCCTGACAATGTGCAGGGAACCCTGTCGCTGTCCTCTTCTGCCGGGCAACCGCCGTCGGAGCAGGGACAGCTGAAGGGGAGTATTGCTGCCGGAGCTGGCGACGCATCCACACCAGCGACGTCTACCGCCGCAGCTTCTTCAGGACAGGAGCCCGTAAAGCAGCTAACATCTGGAACTTCTCCCAGTGGAAACAAAAATGCGGATGGCACTCCCTCGCCTGACGCCGACCCAACGGTGGTGACAGTGGGTGGAGAAACGGTTCAGGGAGATGGATCACTCCAAACTCCTGGGGTGAGCGTGAGCTCTGGTGCGGATGGGGAGACGGCGGGAGGAACGGATGTGCAGCAGGAGGGAATCCATGCACAGGCCGGGGAAGTAACTGCCACGGCACTCAACAACAGCCTTGGAAATGTGTCGCAGGGGAATAACACCGATGCCGGCACTGTGCGTGGGAGCGGACTGCTGCCATCGCTGCTTCTTCTGTTGGGACTGTGGGGGTTTGCGGCTGCGTGAGGAGTGAATGGCTGCCGCGTGGGACAATTTCGGCCTCCCCAGCACCGACACACACGGTAATTAATTTATTTTCTTTAATAACTTTTACTTTTTACTTCTTCCCTGTTTGCTTTGCTGTGCGTTTTTATATCCCCATTCCTTTTTTTGCTTTTTTGCTTTTGGGGCAATCACTATGGACGTTTTTTTTCTTTTCTACTATTTCCTCTTTTTATTGTTTGTTGCTGCACTCTTCCTGCGAGGGGTGCCGTGTGTTTCCCGCCCAACTGCTCCACTCGCACACCCACCGACAAGCTCACGACGACGGCCCTGTGCGCCTCGCCTGCTGCACGCATGAGGAGGGGCCGCGACGAACGGCGCGCTGAGGGAGCCGTGACGTGTGGGCGTGCGACGAGGGCCTGTGGGGCGGAGCACACATTTCTTTCCCTCTTGTTTTGTTTCCTTGCGGCCAGGGCGGGCAGACACCCGCAGCGCCACGCACACAGCCACACCCTGCCGCCGTGTTTTAAAAGATTTTTTTGTTTTTTTCTTTTATTCGATGGGTGTGTGCCGCCACTGTGTGTGATTGTTGAGTTTGGGCCGTGCCGCATGTATCGCTGCCGTCCAGCTGTGCCTCTTGCTGTGCTGATGTGTCTTCCTGTGCTCCTCTTCTTTTCTGCTCCTCCATCACACACAAAATTATTTGCACAGTGCTCTGCAGGAATGCTCTTGGCGACGGCGGGACGTTGGCTTGCATTCCGTGCCGACATGGCGAGGCCGCTGCGTGTGTGCCTGTGCGGTGGGAATTGCGGTGCCATTGGATGGATGTGTGTGGGACGCCTTTTGCATTGAGTTTGTGGCCGGTTTGCGCGGCTGCACGATGCCCGCCATGCGTGAAGGTGTTGCCTGCTCTTGGGGTCATTCTTCTCCCCCCTATGTTTTTGCACTGCCGGGTGCGTGCGTTG